TTCCTGGTCAGTATATCTCCTGGTTCTTTCCCGGATGAGGTTGGAACATGAGGGATCAGTTCTTCATCACTCTCATATTGTACCGGCAAGTTAGCTGGATTGTTCGGAATATGATTGGATGAAGATGCAGGTTCATTTCTGGGAGAATGCTCAGGTGACTCATCATTGTCATCTGGCTTCTTCTTCTTCTTTCCAGTCTTCTGCTTCTTAGTTGGACTGCCAGTTGGTTCTTCTTGCACAAGTGTTGGCAGTTCAAGATCTTCATCTTGGTCTTCTGCTTCGGGATTCGTTAGAATCGCAGGTGGTGAAGGTACCACGACAGTCGGAAGAATTGGCTGAGATGATTGCGACTGTGACGGCAAAGAGACATCACCCCCCAGTCGATTGAGTCCGCTTGAGGATGAAATGGACTGTTTTTGCCGTTTAAGCGCTGCATCTCCTCCGCCAGGCTTGTCGTGTGGCGGCAGTGGTGGATCCACTGGACTGTCTGGTGATACACTGCGTGGTGCTGGCGGCATGGGATGATCAGGCTGATGTGGAGGATCCGGAGGAGGATCTGACATGTTCTCGTCCGGAGGTGTTGGTGGTCTTGGATCAGGCATGGGATGGTCCGGTTGATCAGGTGGCTGCTGTGTGTCAGGTCTTGGAGGTTCATCCGTTGGATCCGATGGATCCGTCGCGATGGGCATCGGCCATCTGTGAACGACTGATGAACGGATGAAAACATCACAGCATGCCAGGTCTTCGGATCATAGTTCTCCCAATTGCATTTTGATGCCGGCAAGACCCAAATTCTATTCAGCTGATCAGGTTGCCAGAAGGATATGATCGCATCGTCCGGAGGTGACGTACTTGGCATGTTGATGCCAATGGTGTGGACGTATGCGGTGCATGCATCATACTGAGTGGATGAGATGCACAATTGTCTCAACTTCTTGCAACCATTCCACATGTTCTGACACCGCCAGTCATTAGGATCTTGCTTGAAGATATCGATTTCAGTCCGCGGAGGGTACTGCTTCATCGTTTTTTGAAACTTCTGGACTAGCGGATCCTGGATGACTAATGGTTGAACGTCCTTGTTGAACGGCAGGTCTGACTGCAAGACTACTGCTGGTCATGTTGAACTCCTTGTCAATGGCTTCCATCTCCTGTCTCAGGATGTCAACCTGCTTGATGGTGAATGGTTCGAAAAGGTCCTCCAAGAGGTATACCTCGTTGTCAAGTGGTTTCACCTTCAAATGTCGTAGGAGGATGTGCGCGAGATCCTGACAGAACTGGTAAGGATAGACCTGTGCCAGTTTGGTCCTGCTTCCGAAAGTGCCAGCATTTCCCTCTAGGGGTTGGTGTTCATGCTTGACTGAGCTGGAAAAATCTTTACACCTTGTGAAGATCGGTCTCATTACCTCGGGAGGTAAGCAGTGCATCAAGCTCGTGGGCTTGAGACTTCTGAGCCCGGATTCAGGATCTTTTAGTCCGTATGCACAGAAATGGAAATCTCCCCAGGTCACGATGGATCTGAAACAACTGTTGCATGCAATTCAGACACCATATCCTGGATGTCTGAGGATTTTCAATGATGAAGTATCTTCCGTGCTTCAACTGATATCGCGCAATGGATGCCACAAATTCAACAACCATGGGGAGATAGCGTCTCCGCTTTTCCCCGACCTTTTGTTGGTCTTGTTGGATGTTCTGCATATTTGACCATGGTCCACAGACCGGTGCCATTAGGATGACATCAGGTGCTTGTTCCCGAATGATCTCCATGACCATGTGTCGTCCCTTGGATGTCATTACATCGAATCCTGTGCGGATGTCTACGGGAGTCCCAACCTTAAGACCTGATAGTGCACAGCATTGACTGAATCTGGCACTTCCTGCAAAGATCTCGAGAACGTGGATCTTTCCTTTACGTACACAGTTCCAATGTGCTTGTTCAGGAACGGATGTGAGGTCCTCGACGAACATGTTCTCTGCCGGATGAGGTGCTGCAGGTTTGGGAGTTGTTTTTCCCGCGATACGAACGGCACTGAGGATCTTGGCTTAGGAGCTGGTGCGGATGACTCTTTCTTCTGGGTGTCTGCAGAGGAGCCAGGTTGCTCCTTCTGCAAGGATTCTCGCTCTTCTGGCAATAGAAGATCAATTCCAGGTTTCCCCGGAGGGATGGTTTCATCCTTCCTGACCTTCGTCATGTTAACCTTGATGAGTCGAGTCCCAAGATCAAGTCCTACCATTGCTCCTTCAATGGAAATGACTTTTCCTTTCAGCCATATTCCTCCCTTGCTTCCATCGGAACGGATCTTGGATTTGTCTTCCTGCCAATAGAATACCTTGTCCTTCACCTGAAGAGGCTTAGAACTCATTCGGAGATTTTGAGCCAGGTCTCGTCGGATGTCTTCGGATTGACGTGCTTCTTGGAATGCTTGCTTTGACAGCTGCTTGATCTGGATGGCTGTCAGCTCTTCTTCATTCCTGTCAATCGTCAACTGCGTTGGTGTTGCGACATCAAGTTGGATGAGATCTGCTGGTCGTCTTCCGAATGCGAGCTCTAGTGGTGTTCCCCGTAGGTGACAGTCTGATTCCTGACAGTTGCAGCGGCCTTCACCAGCTGTCTGTATGTCACTTTCTTCAGTGTTGCAGGTGCAGTTCCTGCCTTGATGGAACTTAGCATGATCTTGAGTTGTGCCTTCAGGAGTCAACTGCTGCTTCAGCTCGATTTGGCCATGGGGTATTCGGTCCCAAGGATATCGGTGTGATGTCCAGGGACTGATAGAAATGTTCCCATGTCTCTGTCATGAAGGCTTGATCTGCGACAACTGACTTGGGCTGCAAATGGTACTGGTCAAAATAGTTCCTGAGGACAGTGATGTTCTCGACTTCCTGCGTAGTTATCACTGCCTCTGCAGTGAGCAATGTTGTTGCTCCATCCAGGATGACAAAGACAATGATGTGTTCTCCTGTTCCAAGAGGAACTTGGCACCAAAGGTGTCCGCTCGAAGTCCACTCGTCTTGCTTCATGTTTTGCCGCTTGGCAAACTTCACATTCACTTCGGGTTTTGTCAAATAGATCGAATGTTGATTTCGGCAAATGAAGTGAGCGAGTTCTAAATCGAAATTGATCTGTTGTCATGTGATGATGCTGGAGGTGGAGCTTCTTCAACTCTTCGGGATTCGACAATCGCTTGTGGATTGCCTAGGGCAAGCGGAAGCGATGTTGGTTCTTCTGAGGATGGTGCGATTGGATCTGGCTCAATGGTCGACCGGCCCTTCTTGTCGATGATCCTGTCTGCTGCCGATCCTGAACCTGCTTCCTCTTCTTTAAGCGAATTGTCCGCGAAGGTGAAAATGGTCTTACCTTTCCACAGGTTGATCATTGGTTTGTTTGCCTGGGATGTAAGTCTCCAATTGTCTTCTAGGATGTCTGGATCTCCACCTACGGATGCATCAATTTTTTCCGTAGTACGCTCTCGGCTGATGTTGTCAGGATCGATTGGACATTCCTTGGCTCCATTTGGTGTGAACAACGCCTTGCGGGGCGTGATGTGCACACGGATGAGCTGCTTGTTCTTCTTGTCAAGGATCCAATGGTCCTGCTTCTGAGACCCAATGATTTTAGGAGTTGCTAGGTCCTCCTTTGTCTCGGATGACTTTGCTGCACAAACAGTTTCACTCTGGGAGAGCTCCCCGGAGGGAAACTTAATGCTGTTGTCATCATCGTAGACATAGTTTGTGAGGCCTTGGTGAGCAATTTCTCCATGTGCCTTCACTCTTGCTACTCCAGCGAGGTCGACGAGTGCATGTCCTGCACCGGATACTGGAACTGCTTGACGGTTCCTGCCAAAGGCCTTGCATGTGATCTTGTCACATTGAGGTGTGTGCTCGATGGTCATGTAGAGGTTCCGCATCTGACTGATGCTGAGGAGGATCGGTACAGTTCCTTGTTCAAGGACGTCGATGTTGGTACTGCATGGAGGAGTTGTGTGATATCGAAGACGCAGGGTCCAATTTACCCTGGCTGTTTCTCCGTTTGCAAAAGTGAACTTGGTCTCGGCCGGGATGTACTGATAGGAGATGATGTCCTTCATTGGTGGTTCGATGGCCTGAGTAAAACGCTGGATTGCATGCCAGCTGCCCATAGATCTGGTACATCCATTGTCCAGAATCGCATAGGTCGGATTGTGCTGAGGGTTGATGACAGGCGCCATCAGCTTGGTTGCCAGTAGGCTGTGATTTGTTGTGACGGACAGATTATGTTCTGAAACTGTATCTGATTGGATCAGCTTCCCGTGGATGGCCTTTTTCCCAGAATGCTCATATGCATCATGGAATGCCATTAACGCTTGTCCTGTGCTGGATGTCTCATGGGATGAGTACCAGCCATGTTCGTTCCATGTCCATGATTGATCCCAATCTTGGTCTGTCCAACCGGCATAGGTAGGCTCTGTGGATGGTGCAGTCTGCTGGATGGCGGGCTGCTCCTCCGTCTTCTCTGAGGTGGCTGCGAACGTTTTGGACTTTCCTTTGTCATGTCCGCCCTTTCCTTTGCCATTCTCATAGGATGGATAACCTTTGTTTCCATCATAGGGATATTGAAATTTTGATTTTCCTTTCTTTCCCTTCTTTCCTTTGCCTTTTCCCCAATATGCCTGGTCGTAGGGATCACAATTTTCATTGGCCATATTGGCCTTCCCGCCAGAACCGCTTTTCCGAAAGGGGTTGAAGCCACCTCGTTGGTGACTGCCCTTTTTGTTTCCTGACTTTCCTTTTCCTTTTCTCTTCTTGAATTTGAAGTTCCGCCC